CAGGCACCATCAGCTTTCTTCACCACATTTCCTTATGCACACATTTTGTCTTCAGTGATCATATTGAGTAGGTGGGCACACACCGATATGATTTTTTGTTCTTTGGTGCCTGATAACCTGGTCCCTTCGATACCTCATGGTCACAAAGGCTGGTGTGCTTCTTCCATGTGAGCTTTGTTGCTTTTGAGCTAGATGGCCGCTTGTTTACCTGCAAGCCTTTAAGACCCCAGATGCTATATCTTTTGATAGCCGGGCACCATCAGCCTTTCTTCACCACATTTGCTTATGCACGCATTTGTCTTCAGTGATCGTGTCAGGAAGGTGTGCATCATAGAATGCCAATTTAATAGAACAAAGTGTCCTTGCATTAAGTACTTGAGTGGAAGCCCAATGCCCATCTGCTGCCTTAATACTAAACCTATAAATCTATGTACATAGATCTATTTCCCCACCATCCTATATAAATATATTTACATATGTACATACCTTTATTCAGACCTCTATAAATGCCCTTTGCCTCCTAGTTCTTTCCTCTATTTCCTTTTACTTTCCTTTTCTCCCACTGTCATGTTCAGCCTTCATTTGGGATTCAGTAATTTTTCTTGGTTACATTGCCCTTGCTGAATCCCTACCAAGCATCACTCCCTACCCCCCTTGTCACTAATTTTGGATCACTTGTTGCTCCCTTGTCCCTGGTTGGTCAACACCACTTCCTGTCCCCCACCTCCCTCTCTCCCATGTCCCCCGAGTCCCGTTGTTTTCTCCTCGATTATTCATCCAGCCTATCTTATCTAGATAGATCTGCAGAGATAATAATATGCACCAAAAAACATGGCATAACAAGAAAAAGCGACAAAAGAGAACACAACGATGATAATAACACAGAAAGTGAATGACCAAGAAAAGAATAAATTAATTAAAAAATAAATTAGAAAAAGAAAAACCTGTAAATAGATCAAAGTCTGATTTTTGACCTCTATGCATATCCTCCAGTCGAGTCCGATAAGGTGCCACGCTCTGGCCCCAAAAGTCTATCCTTTGTACTCCCTCGGGAGCTCCCTGCTCTGCTCCCCCGGTTGCTGTGCCACACACCTTTAGTGTTTTGCCTCTGTGTGGTGGAGTCAGACTGGGACAATCCTGACACTGAGTCTCTAGTGTTGTTCCCTGTAGGGCCATGGGTCAGTGAGGGATGTCATGTCTCATAGTGGGATCAGCCATATGGTCCACTCTGTGCATTGCCTGTTCGGAGCGGGGATATCGTCCTCCAGGCCTGGTGGGCCAGGATATGCTCCACTCTCTCTTCCTCCCCATTCATTTGCTCCCGTGTGCTCTGATCAGACATGACCCTCTCCCCTAGCTGCAGCTTCAGTGCTGTCCTCTGAAGTAAATTCTTCTGGGGGGAGAGGCAGTTGTCCATGTATCTAGGATTGGGGCCGAGCCCCCAGGCCCCTCCACTGGCTCCCCTCTCCATGCTGGCATGCTGCATTCGCGTCCTGGAGCACCGCATTTAACTCTGGTCCCTCTTTCCCTGTGGAGACACAAGCAATACCCTCCCCTTGGGTGAATCAGTGCACTATTCCCCACCACACATGTGTCTTTTTTTTTTCCCTTTCCTCCCCCCTTCCTTTTTACTTGGCTACCATATGTACCCTTGGATTTGGTCTGGCCCCTGCCATATACCTGGACATCACCCCTGCGGTGTTTGTATACAGTAGCTTTTTCCCTGTGCCCCTTTTGCATTTTACTTTTCTTTGAAAAAAAAATTTTTTTTTATAATCAGCAGACTCATTTTGTGCTTGGAAAAAGCCAACATTTTTAATAAAATATGTAAGACCTATAATTCAAAAGCTGAAAAGGGAAAGCATGCTTGGCATATCTTAAACTGAAAGAACTCAAGAAAAAAAATCAAGCTTCAAGTTGCAATTTTGAAAGTTTCTATGGGCAAAAGGCAGAAAGAATGCAGAGTCACTGTACCAAAAAGAGCTAGCCAACAGCCCATTATTTCAGGAGGCAGCATATGAGTAAGAACCAATGGAGCTATAGGACATTCAAGCAGCAATAAAAGCATTAGCCAAAAACATGGCTGCAGGAATTGAAATGGTTCAGCAAGCGGAGGAAGCACTAGAAGCACTCACTCGTTTATGTCAGAAAATTTGGAAGTCAGCTACTTGGCCACCTAACTGGAAGAGATCCATATTTGTACCCATTCCAAAGAAAGTGGACCCAACAGAATGCTCACACTACAGAGCAATATCATTGATGTCACATGCAAGTAAAATGTTGCTGAAGATTTCTAACAACAATTGCAGCAATACATTGACAGTGGTTTGCTGAAAAAGGACAAACCGATCTGTCTTAGAAGAAGTACAACCAGAATATTGCTTAGAGGCCAAGACGGCAAGACTTCCTCTTACATATTTTACACTTGTGGTCAGGAGAGACCAACATGATGAATTGACACAAATGTTGTATCAATAGACTCAGGCATAGGAACAATTGTGAGGATGGCACAGGACGTCTTGATGGAACCAACTCAGTGGCACCTAACAACAACTTGGGTAATTGGATTTCCAGAATTTTAATGGGACATTTTAAAGTATTCCCTTTTCTGTTGTCATGCACCATTGATTCCATTCTAACTCATAGCGACCCTGTAAGATAGAGTAGAACTTCTTCACATGGTTTCCAAGGCCCATGACACAGTGGTTAAGTGCTAGGCTGCTAACCAAAAGATTGGCAGTTTAACCCCCCCAGCTGTTCCAAGGGAGAGAGATAGAACAGTTCTCCCATAAAGATTTTTTTTTTTAAAAAAGAAACAACCTGTTGCCTAAGCATCAATTCCAATTTATAACAACCCTGTATGGTAGAATAGAACTCCCCGCAGGGTCTCCAAGGCTATAATCTTTACGTAAGCAAACTGCCACATCGTTGCCTCAACAGAGCAGCTAGTCGATTCAACAGAGCAGCTAGCTACAACCTTATTGTTATCAGCTGAATGCTTAACTACATACCACCAGGGCCCTTTCATTTTGTTATAGTAAGCACAGTAGCAGAATTGCTGTTGAGTTGATACCAGCTGATGAGCTCCATAAAGTTTTCAAGGCTGAACTTGCAAAGTAGATCAACAGGCCTTTCTTCTGATGCACCGCTGGCTTGGTTTGAACCACCAAATTTTTATTTAGTAACTGGGGTATAATTTTGTACCACTAGGAACAGTGTTTAGTAAAATCTCTTTACCAAAATGGAGACCCTTTCCTTTCAAATTTTGATTTTAAGCCGAAAGAGTAGCTTAGCTATGTGTATATAATTTAGAACTTTCTTCTAAATAAAATCGTCACAGGCAAATTTTTAGGCTTCCGTTTATAAGGTCTTTAACGATCACACTGAGGCAGCAGTGTTGTTTATGGCTCAAAAAAAGCCCGCCAAAAACCAAATTCCCTGGTATCAAGTCAGTTTCAACCAAAGTGAGCCTCGAGAGCAGGGTAGAACTGCCTCTCTGGGTTCCGAGACGTTAACTCTGTATGGGAGCAGCTTGTGGTTTTGAACTGCTGACCTTACAGTTTTCAGCACAGTGTGCACTGTGTCATCAGGACTCCTTGTTGATAGGTAATTAAGTGTTGATAACATTATGAGTATTAAATACTTCTATAGAGTCATCTTCCTGTTGCTCTTAACACCTTTCATGTATTCCTCTCTGTGTTTTCAGTTTTACAGCCACCAGCACGTTAGGAAAGAGAAGTCTGAGTCCTAGTGTGGAAGATGCTGGCTTGGAGGATAGAGCGTTGGGGGAGATGTCTGATGCTGAGCTTGAGAATACAGATTCCTGTGCAGAACCCCTCTCAGAGGGAAGGAAAAAGTCCAAGAAATTAAAGAGAATGAAGAAAGAGCTTTCTCCAGCAGGTCAGCATTGGATCTTGCCAAAGTTCTGGGATTGCCTAATCTTTAAATGCTCTGAAAACTCAAATTTGGGAGGAGAAATGATAGCAAAGCTTCCACCAGTGGCAGAGCCCTTTTAATTGTCCGGGGGATCAGAAGTTTTTAGGATCTATTTGTTTTACTTTATGTATTTATACAGAGAGGCGCTTATACAGGAAATAGCTCACACAGTTGTAGAGGCAGACAAGTTATAAGTCCAAAGCTCAGATGGCAGGCTGGGGGCTTCTCTTGACTCATGTAGCTACAGGATCTGATGAGTCCAAGTTTGTCAGATCAGAGGTTCCAAAGCCAAAACCAGTCGATGCCGACTCATAACAACTGATAGGATAGGGTAGAACTGCCTTTGTGAGTTCTGAGACTCTAATTATTTACAGGAGTGTAAAGCCCTATCTTTCTCCCAAGGAGCAGCTGGTAGTGTTGAACTTGCAGTTAGCAGCCCAACTCATACCCATTGCACATCAGCACAGAGTTCCTAAAAGGCATTGCTCTGGTAGTTGAAGGCCTCATCATGTCCTTTCTTCTTCGCCCTCTTATCGCTTACAAGTTTTGGAGATTTTGCTGCTATGTTTAAATAATGATAATATGAAAAATACAAGTTTAAATTTGCACAGGTCTTCTCCTACATGTTATTTTCAGTAGCTGAATTTCTGCTATGTTCCCTGCAAAACTGCAAGTAGCCTGGATTTCCCCAATAAGTAGAATTATACAAGGAACAAAACACACAGTAAGTTAACTGCTTTAAGGGCCTCCTGGCATAGGTGTCCTACCCTCTTTGTGTTCTTCCATTTTCACAGTAGGTTGAGGCGGAGACTCTTAGTAATTGCAATTATGTCAACTCCGTGTGTGTGTGTGTGTGTGTGTGTGTGTGTGTGTGTGTGTGTGTGTG